GGGACCGCGCCAAACTGCAAAGTGCCTAAATTCCGTGGAAGGAGGAACCCGTAACCCGTAAGCGGGGCGTGGACCCTCAAACCCCAGCATGCAGGAGAGAGCTGCTGCTCACTGAGTCAATAAAGAAGTCCATCGCGCGAATCGCTGGCGGATGGAGAATGGCAATTGGCCACATTCATCTTGGAAACAAAAATGGCATGCATGATGCAGGCAACTTTCTTTGGTCGGTTCCTCGTCGGTCGGGGTACACCCAGACGCAGGTGCAGAGAAAGGGACCGACTCGGGACCCTGAGATCCAGAGATCTCTCTCTCACCCCCGGCCCAGCGTCCCATCAGATTTGTTGGGGTACCATTGTTGCGACGGGAAGACTGGCAGGTGCGACGCCGAGGTGCTGGATGGATTCTGGAAGGACAGATGTGGCGCACGCGTCGTCACTTGCTTGGCGGGGCCCGCTTTATCCACCACTTGCCTGTTCCCCAGTCGCCTCCCATCCTCCCGTCGCCCCGTTCGATCATGTGGGCAAAGAACCTGGAAACCAAGAAATACACGGACAGGACGGGGTGTATGACGACGCCGGGTCGACGGGCCCATGGGTGCGACAGCCTGTTTTGGGGGGTTTGATCGAGATTCACGATCTGGAAACAGAACCGGCCTGCGACGGGATGATGACTGTTGCAGCCTACGATACTGACCGCCGGGCCTGTGCCAAACCATCGGCAACCCAAAATCAACTCGAGCAAACCAACACACACCGCACTAGGGTGCCAGGATGCCAACTGCCCATAAAATCCACCTGCTATTTCGAGCCGAGCGGCCTTCACTCTCCTTAAGCTCGCCAAGCCTGGGCGTCGAGACTTTGGCGACAAGGAAATCGCGACACTGGCAGCTAAGAGATTAAGCTCCATGTATCCCTGCGCTTAAAAGTTGCGCATCCGCATTGCGGGATTGGGCCAGCGCAATACCCCGCAAACCATTGAAGCCAAGGTTGGTGGTGGGCGGGGAGGACGTCGGTGTTGTTTGAGACGGGCTCGCTCGAGAATCAAGACCGAGTTCAGTTGGGAACAACAGTTGAAGTTGTCCGACCTTTGAACGGTTATGGTCATTCAAGGTCGCCGTGGCGTGTTGCTCTTATTCCGCCTGGAAGGAACCGAAGGAACGGAACCACGAGCTGTGATTGGCATGAAAGCGTGCAGCGGACAACGGCCAGGAATGTCTGTCGTGAGAGCAAAATCGTGCCATGTTTTGCGCGGGGTGAGGGGTGAGCACGGGCAATCGGCCACTGATGAGCCCACTGCCCCAAATCCAGCTAGGCCTGATCTTTGAGCCCGGTTCGGTCCCTGTGGGCGGATCTGGCCGGGGATAAGAAATGACACCACGATAAGACGATCCCAAGACCACCCATAGGCCACACCCAACTCACATCACGCAACCATGGACGCATCTGTCAGGCACGCAGCCCTCAGCCCCAAGAGGGGGTCGCCGGTGAGGCCCTCATGGCGCATCGGAAAGTCTGCACAATCCAAACCCCAACCAACGGCTCGGGCCAGTGTTCAATTTAAAAAGATCAACCAGCTGCTCCCCGGTTTGGGATCTTATGGTGTTTCATAGCATCAATCAACTTGTCTTCTCATCCCGCATCATCCTCTGAAAACAAACTCCAGCAAGTGCAAGTGAACATCTCAGTTCCAAAAACGACACAAAAAAAAGTCGACTTCGCTTGTGTACCTGTAATTGCTACAACAACACACCACAAACAAACAACCATGTCGCCCGCCACACCATTCAGACCAACCATGCATTTTGCCGCCAGGCCACAGCCGGCTGTACTCGCCGCCAAGGTGCCCGTTGCAAGGTATGCATCCAGTTTCTGCCACCTTGTAATTCATTCATCATTTGTTGGGTACCCATTGGACAATGTCTCACAGTTTAATACACAGAGTACCCTCAAGCATCCTGCTGCCGAGCTTGGTCGTCGTTGGAACCAGTAAGTCTAATTGCATCCACCCACCTTCCCGCATGCTCGCATTGCCACTGGGAAGAGCCCGGAGCCGTTCGTTTTAACTGACCTTTGAAACATAGTCTCTGGAGTTGTCTTGTTGATTCGCTCGCAGCTGCGCCACGAGTCCAAAACGCTCGACCGCATGTTCGCTCAGCAAAACACTCCCGAGGTTATGGAATCGAGGAGGAGGACTCTGCTGATCGACACCGAGGGAGACCCTAGGAGGACAATCTACAATGCCCTGAGGAACTGGTAGCCGTCTTGTTGGGCCTCTTAAGTTGTCTTGGTGTTTCGGTTCAATATTTTGTCTTTTAGCCTTCCTTTTGTATATACGACCAACGTGGTCCTCGGGCCCCCTTTTCCTTCCAACAGCGCTGGGAAACGTGCGGCTAGGGACATGGGACGATGGAGTCTGCACGGCCATTGTGCCGACGGTTTTTAGTTTATTTCCTGGTACTATCCACACTATCATACTATCACACAAACAGCAACGAGTGTCCAATGACAAGTAGTTTTTTCCCTCCTTCGAGCCTGAAACTCCCCAGTATTAATAGTTCGCAGCACATGCATTATCCGCCAGGCTCGAGTTGTCGTCCTCACCTCCCATGCACTTGAGTTAAAGAGCACTGCGGTTAATCCATGATCATACAGCAATCCAGCTTTGCTGTGGAAAGTCAGCAAGCGCACGCAATATCTAGATGATGAATTGATTGAGTAATCAAAGCAACGATACCATCAATGAATATTCGAGTCCTTGAACATGACTACACTACCCTTGACGAATGGAACTAATAACGAAACAAGAGCCATGCATCTATTTGTATTTTTACTCATTATCCAGACCTTAAACTCACCACAGCTCATGATATCGATTTGAGTTGATTCTCAAAAACCATGGCTCTTCATCCTGCCCCCGGCTAGTAATTCGTACATATCGGTGCGGGCGGGAAATGTAGGTAGTGAGACTCGAGGGTTCCTACCTACCTGAACTATCCCGCAGTTTGCACCAAGAGGAACCAATACTGGCCCGGGACTCTGAGTCGTACAATAAACTCTGAAATATCCGGCATATGCCGTGCACACCTGCCAAGCTCATTCGTCCGGGACGGTAACATCGCCAGTTACCCTGGTAAATATTGAACACGTCCTTGGATCAAACTCTAAGGAGTTCGAAACAGATGGCATGAACAAAATAATGTACTATCTGGAGCTTGGAAGCAATTTCATCGAAAACAATGTCTGTGCCGCTCTCATCCAGCACAAGATCTCTGTAGCATCGACCAACCCGTATTCTATATGTGTATCGGTATGCGTGTATCCCTCGCTGAGGCACGGAAGCACGAAAGCTCATGCACAGCTATTGCTCCGCCACAACAGAAGTCGGACAAACGGGCATGGGCTTCGTTCCACTTCATGGTATTGCATCCGGGTAACCAACGGTTTTCGAGCCCTGTACGATGCAATCATATCAAGAGCAAATGAGGCCTCGCGTCGGATCTCCGTTGTTTTCAATCAGTGCTGCAGTGCACTCAGACTTCTACCAGAACTCGAGGTACCTACCTGACTTTGCCTTACTCGGAGCTCTGGGTTGTTCCAATCACCCTACCTTGTGCAGGTGGGCCAGGTAGCCATTCGTTGCCGAGGTTTCCGAGTGGTCTCGCTTTGGGCCAGGCAGGGCCGTGACGGCGGACTCGCTCGCTCCGCCACACCCCGATGAGGGTTTCGTCAGCAGTCAGCAAGCAGAAAACATCCGAATCCGGTCATGGTTATTTCGACGTTGGTTGTAGCTGGTTTTATTGGCAGTGAACTCTAAGCCCAAAGCAGATTGATAGCTCTGGCCCAGTTAGTTTCACTGGGGCGCTGACCCATCGTGCAGTGTTTTGCTTGCTACAGTTTTACAGTAGACTAGTTGTTTGTGGGATTCAATGTTTGCCGGCAGCGGGCCCATTGCATGAGTCTGTAATAATGGTGCCAGCTTTCAGCTACCTTATGTCTCTATTGCCGCTCAGTGGACCCCTAATCCCACATCTTCCATGATCATCGGCGTGGTCTGGTACAAGAGGCAAATGCGGAGTCCATAAACTGTGATGCAACTGTGATTGGCGGGAAGCCACTATCCAGAATCTCGTACTTACGGCTGTGGAGCTAATGTTTAACCTAATTTGGTAGGATATTCAACTTGACGGTGTTCTTCAACCTTTCCATCATTATTAACTCGACGTGTTCGAATACCAGTCCCGAAAATTGAAGGAGCGCTGACAGTCAAATCTCAGTCCATTATCGTCTCGCTACTGAGGATACAGCAACCGTAGCAGCAATAATGCGGAAAGGGCCTATCTCATGCTGTCTTTCCGGGTCAGATTGAAGGAGCACGCAACCTCCAGCGAGGACTAATATCTGGAAACGTGCGGTGTTATCCAAGACCATGGAAGGTTTTCAGGTTGAGACATGATATATCATACCCAGTCTCCCGTGTAAACTTATGCAATCAACGCCATGGGTCCAAGCAGCAGCCATATCTTATCCTACAACACCTCAGCCTTTACTGCACAAACAACCATTACCATTTCAGATTGATGGGTTCACCAAGAGTTCCGTTTCGGATAGTCTCTTGTACTGCTCGGTTACTTATGTGCTTCATTTCTGAATATGGAATCCAGTCTTCGTCTTCCACATTGCCCTGTCAACATGAAACATATGAACTCTTTCATATACTAACACCGAATGTCGTAGCAGGAGTCTGCCTTGCCACAGAAACTGTTGAAGAAATCCAAGTCTTCAGTTCAGCTGTTGCGTTAGATGCCATCGACTATGCTCCGCAACTCCTGACTCAGGCTGGTTGCTCAATGAAAGGGGGGCAGACGGGTTCAAAGTGTGGGACGGTAATAATTAGGTGGGTTCCAGAATCTCCACAACCGTGAAGCAGAGACTTCCAAGTTCCTCTCCCACAACAGCGGGCCACTTCCTCAACAAGTCAGTCCTTGACTCACGACATCCACATCCGGTGTGGTGTAGCGGTAACATTGTTGACTCTCATCTGCTGTATCACAGCTTCTGCTTGCTCAATAGCCCGGGGTTCGATTCCCCGCATCGGAATCCAATGAAGCCACCCCATCACGAGGGGGTGCATCCTCTTTTTGCTGGCGCTTGCCTTGGTTGATGTTTTGTTTTTGCAACGTTCCTGTCGTTAGGCAAGATAGGGTATTATCGTTTAACAACAACCTCATTGACCCATATGCATCACCAGCAGCCTTTTAGAAATAATAGTGCTGGAGTGCTCTTTTCCTGAATACCAGACCTTTGTTTCGACGAGGAGTTTGTGTGTAAAGTTCGGTCAGACTTTATCTGCATGAAGATTCGGCCTCTAACCTGGAATGTCATATCTTGAAATAATCAAAATATTTCCAATGAACTCCCCCGTTGGAAAATTTTCATGCCCACAGCTTCCGCAAAATCTGTGCTGTCGTTGAGATACATGGGCGATGCCATGGCCCCGTCGCCCGTTCAGTGACCACTCCAACATGGAAGTCGGCTTTGCATACATGGAGAACCGTCCAAATGCGTGATTTTTGAGTGCCATGAAAGAAGACAAGACTTGTTATCGTCGCAAATCAATTATCAATCTTCCGAGTAATTATCGCATATCGATGGGTAAAATGTTGCCAGCCTCCATTCATACCAGGTATTGAGCAGCCTGGGCCCACAGCCTCGCGGCGGGAATATACCACCAACGTTCCCAATGGCACTCGACAGTCTCATTCCATCACAAGACACACCCGCCAAACTTTACATGTAGATTGCTACTCTGGCGACCCTCGGGCTGTCAGCATCTTTGCGTCCGTCAGTGACGGCAAACAAGTTTTCCCTCCTGGCTGGACTTGGACTCGAGTGGCATCAGTCCCGGTTCTGAGTATCCAACAAGGCTGTACTTGAACTCCCACGTTGGCTCATTTCTCGGCGTCTCATGCAATTATTTTCCTCACCTTTGTTTCCCTGTCTTTATCTTATTCTTACCATTCGTGACTCTGTAGCTACCTACTAGTATCGTCCAAGTAATTGGTCTCGCCGAGTTTCCCGTGATACCTCATACTCGAGATTAGCTTAGTAAAACGGTTCGAGTGGTAAAAAGTTTGGGTTTGTCTACATTTGGACTATTCTGAGATAGAATAGGGCCCATCTTCTTGAACCGTAAAAATCGCTGTTGCTACTACTACTACTACTACTATTATTAATTATGTCGTCCTTCGGTACCAGGTGGTTGGATGTTTCGTTACTAAGGGGTGAGGTGATGTTCACGTTCCTGGTAGGAATTAATACCAGGGAGTGACGGTGCATCCGTGCAGTATGCTGTATACCTGATGTGGCCCTGCGTGAATTTCATGGGATTTACTACAAGCAGGTGGTGCTTATATGTCAATGTCATGAATTGCCGTCGGGCACGTCAGACTCAGCTTGTAGACCAGTCTTCAAACCCCGAGTTTCCATTATCACATGTAGCTCAGGGTGCTGCTGGCTTGGTTTGATCGAAGCACAGAATGCAGATATGCGTAAAGCCCCGGTTCTACTTGTGTCTGCGTCATGTTGCTAATAGCTTGATTTGGTGTATGATAAGATGTTGTAGTAACTTCCTTCTATTATGCTCCCAAGAACAACTCAAAGCTATTCTGAACACACGGATCGGGCGATATTTGCTCGCGCTAGCTGTAGCTTCTTTCACCTGGTCCTGTTTTCAATAGTGACTCGGAGAGCAAGATGCCCGTACCCATGGGTGCCCAATCTTCCTACGGATTCAAGTTCTCATAAAAGCGCTGGCGGAATGTAAGCTTTTGCCTTGTTTCTTCCCAGGCGGCATCTCGGATTGAGGTAGCGCCAGCGGCTCCGTTTACCGCGGAGGATGTAATAGCGTCATTTGTGGCATTCCAGGCCTTCCTGCGAAGCGGGATACTCATAGGTTTTCCGGCTTGAATGAGATACTGTAATACTTGAACGCACCTTTTGCAACGCCAAAGGCACGCAAATCACATACATTGTGTTTTATTCATACCAGGTAGTCCATAATTACGGGAGATGCTGCTTCTGCCATACCTGGCGGGAATAAACCAAGAACTGTAACCTGGCTGGCGCATTCTTTAATGGCCCCGAAAACAAGATAGAACTCATGTTCTGTGTTGCGCGTGACTCATCCTTCGCATGATGGGTATCGTTTTTCTGCTGGCGGTCGCAGTCAGTCACCAACATGTTTGCTTCCACCCCGCGATTGTGGTCAGCTAGGTACCGTATGTTTGGAAGGGACTGCCTCCAGCCAGCACTGGCATTGAACTGCGGGACGCCACGTGGAAGTATTTCGCTCTCGAGCGCAAGTAGGGCATTTGGCGACCAGATAGTTCCATTCAATGACAAAGGCGACTCGATGATTGTGATGGATGGCGAACCGAATCCATCTTTTTGCCTCGGTTTATCCACGATGGCCATTGATTGATCCCGGGTTTTTGAATCAGTAGTTGGCAGCTCGCCTGCTGTAATGCTATTGTGTGTGGCCAGCTATTGGCGTCTAGCTCGGCGTGTTCGGTGATGTGTGAGGTGGCACGAGTGGATCGCCCGCGCCCTGCTCACGGTGACGAGGGGGTTGGTATTCTCGGTCAGGTACCTCTAGCCTATTGTCAGAGAATAGAAGGGGAAGGCAGTGGAACATTTCCCGCCGGTGCTTTCCTATTGTTGGCAAGCTCTCCAATCCAATAAAGCGCCGACCAATCAATTGACATGACGCACTTTTATTTCAACATCATTTGACCAGTCAGCAGCTTTTGCTCCTCGATATAAAATCTCGCGGGCCGCCTCTTCGACGTCAAACTTCAACTTGACACCGAGCACCAACTTCACGATTGATTGCTACTTTGACTTTTTTCTTTCTTTTCTCCAACAACGACAACACGCAACTCCGACTCTTTCTTTGGCTGTACTCCAGGTAGGTGCTTGCTGTCCATCCACGCTTTGCACAGACCGCTCATGGTCTTTTTTTTCCTCCAAGCTCCACCAGGGCACTCGGTAGTCGTGCCTTAGCCCCCCCCTCAGGTCCCGGTTCGCTCTGCTGGCCCCCTCGGAGCCTAGGTCCATCCCTCCTTGCCGCTTAGGCCCCACTCCACTGTTCTGCGTTGTCCGCCCCGCCCCCCGAAAGCGCTCGCTCCAGCCGACGGAGTCAGCCAGGGGAACTTTTTTGACATGGAACCTCAATTTTGCTACAACTTTGCCAATTCCCGTCTTTTCACACTCCATCCACCTGCACATCTCGCATCTCGCATCTTGCAGCTCCTCCACTCCAGTCAATCAGCCCGACTGTCACACTTCACATTCCCCAATACCACCCTCACTACCACCTACTTTTGCGTCCTACCACACGGCCACATTACTACCTACCTGACCTACCTAGCCCCTGCCCTGGTAGTAGTAGTTACCTTGGCTCTTCAAGCTGCTGACAATCAATCACAACAAAAGACGCACGGGCCTGGCTTCCAGGTTATCCGACCGACCACGCAAGTCTCAACCCCACTGGGCCTGTCCTGTGCAGCGCGCGGCGTGCAGCCCAGAGCCAGCTGTCCCTCGCCCCCCCCCCCACCGCCGACCCGCCGACCGACGACGTCAGGGCCTGTTCCTTCTTCACGTTTTTGCAAATTTCGACCCGCTCGCCAACCGCGCGCGCGCGCACCACCACATCAATCAGCAACCATCGCACCGCATCGCACCAACCGTGACGTGACAACAACCTCGTCGCTGCCTGATCCCTCCCCTCAACCAACAACTGAATCACAGCCCGCCCACCATGGCCATGACTAAGAAGAGCCTGAAGCGCGGCCTCCCTTCTCAGAAGGCCGACGCCGAGGACCATGTCTCCAAGAAGATGAAGGCAGTTATCGGTATGTTTCACCTAGACCTGATTAATCCGCGAGCTGCCATGTGGGAGCTGTAACTGTGCTGCCCGGAATCCGGATCTGAATGCGAATCTGAATGCGCCGGGCTGCGCTCATTTCGGCTTCACTTTTTTTCGACCGGCCTGCATGCACACAAACACGCTCCATCCAGGTTTGCGCAGCTTCAGTTTCATGTTGCTGATTCCCCCGTAGCAGATGCCGATAGCCATCTCGATCTGATCGCCACGCCCGCGAAGCGCGCGTCGATCGGCACCGGCACTACCCCCAGCGCGCCCGACACCTCGTCGAGCCGCCGATCGGGCCGCCGATCGAGTCGCCGTGACTCGGTCGCCCCCTCTGAGACTTCAGCTTCTGTCGCTGCTCCCGTCGCTGCGGCTACTACTACCACGACTGCCAACACCCCATCACTGCGCAGGCCGTCGCCGAGAATGCCCGAGGCGCCCATGATGCCTGTGCCTGATATGATGACCCCCGAGGAGGACCTGACTAAGTTTCAAGTTACCGCCCGCGATGTGACCAAAGCCTCGGTATCGTCCGCTGTCCGCGCCAGCGAAGAGCAAGCTGCGCCCCAAGTCCATAACGGTGTCGACATCGCCATCAAGAAGGATCACCAGCCAAGCGAGGAAGTCTCCGCTCAGCCTGCCCAGACCAAGGGGGCCAGCAACGACAGAGCTGCCAAGAGCAGCGCAAAGCCTGCTGGTAAGTCGCCGCCATCTTTTTTGATATGGCAAAATTCAAACGTTTCGGCTCCATTAACACTGCACTGTAGAAAATGAAAATGAGCAAGACGGCGCCGACGAGCCCGAAGTTGAGATCGACACGATTTCTGGTCATCGCATGGTGAACGGCGAGGTCGAGCTGCGCGTGGAGTGGGCGGACCGCGACGTCACATGGAAGGCCGAGTCGGAGCTATGGGAGGAGGCCCGGGAAGCGGTGCTGGAGTACTGGGAGAGCCAGCCCAGGTCGCGCGAGCTGGTGCTGGGCCTAGACGAGACGGCCGAGTACTTTGTGGAGCGCATCCTGGATTCCGACAAGCTCAAGAAGCCCAAGCAGTACCGCGTGAGCTGGATGTTCTACCGGAACCCGAGCTGGGTCGACGCCAAGAACCTGCCGGCCGACATTGTCAAGGCATGGCACGAGGAGCAGGCCAAGCTGAAGAAGAAGGTTGCC